GGTAATACATGGCTATACATGGTAATGCATGGCTATACATGACATTACATGGCTATACATGGCATTACATGGCTATACATGACATTATATGGCTATACATGGCATTACATGGCTATACATGACATTATATGGCTATACATGGCATTACATGGCTATACATGACATTATATGGCTATACATGTTATTACATGGCTATTTTTATTTATTTGTTGATACACTTTAATAACCCTACTTAAAGTACCTACCATCGAGGTCGAGTATTTTTTGAAGTTATCCGCTGACAAGTTACTAGTTTTCAAATGATCGCAGGCTCAAGTTTGATTGTTTTTAATTCATATGAAATATGTTTTGTGTTTGTGCCGCACAATTAAAATTTTGATTTAANTTGATTGTTTTTAATTCATATGAAATATGTTTTGTGTTTGTGCCGCACAATTAAAATTTTGATTTAAAACTGACCTCGGACGCGAAAATTCAGCCAGCTATTACAGGCAGGGAAGGCAGTTGCTTTTGACTTTGCTCACCATGGTCACGCGTTGGTCACGCTCTACGCCCAATTTTTATGCTCTGATTGGTCAAAATTTGACAGGTGAGCTCATGGGGAAAATTTATGCAGCATCTTGACTCTTGTTTACTTTGACAGCTGAAGCTGACAGAGTTTTGTGTCAACTTGTGATGTTTTTAACTGTCTTTTTCCACTAGATGCACAACATGAAATTCAGCTGCTATCAGGAGTCTTCTGTTATTCATGGCTAGTTGGTTTTTGGTTGAGAAATTAATACATTACTTGTCAAAGTCGGAAATCCGATTTCGGATGGCATCGATTTCGCTTTTCACTTTGCTTGATGCGTAAGGGTTGAAAAGTCTGAAGCGATACTAGCCTTCCTTGATACCTTTAAGGAGCTGTATCTCGAATGGTAAGCCTCAGTAATTATTGTGTTTGATGTTCGTTTTTTATATCTAATTTAGTGAAGTCGAGCGCAGTTTATGCGGCTATGTAGTTTATGCACGTTTGTAAGATTTGAGACAATTTGATATGACCAAGAATCTGGTTTGATATAAGCGTACAGAACTTTAAAAAGCCTTTAGACATTTTCTTACCGCAAATAGAAAGAAAACGTTCCAAAGAACATTTAGTTATAATTCTGGCTGTAAAAGAAAGCTTTGAGCGATGTTCTTGCCTCGAGTTCATCTTTGAAAAAAGTAAATACCGGGAAGCCGGCTTAAAACATGAACTTAAGCTTTAAGCTTGAAGACTCAGGATTTTTAGAGACACTTTAATACTTGTCTTCGTGAATGAAAAATGTTGTCTCTGTATACGTTTCACCGAATTATATTTCTTTTATTGATTCTTGGTAGTCTCTCTTGTAATTTTAATCGCCGTGCCGTTTGTTTTCAGTCGTTCAGTGAACATCGCTTGCAGGAGTACTCAAAATGCCGCGCGTATCAAGCCGGCGCTTTTAAAGATTACACATGGATAAAACCATTTAATAAAACTGAATAAACATAATAATTTCTTTATTATGTTGCAGCTTAACTCTAGTACGTTCGTTCAAACACTCGCTACAGCTCGCACTGCAAAAGTGAGAACTGGCTGGCCGTATATGCGATTTTGGAAAGTTTTTTTAACGGTTTAAAAAGCCCACGCGCACGCGTGCTTCGATCGTCCTGAATATTGAATGAGTGCAATTCGTGTTGCAAAATTGTGAAATACTGCATTCTGTCCGAGGTCTGTATGATAAAAACAGTACCTCATGGTACTGTTTCACCCCAGATGTGATGTATAAATGGTATAAAAGGTTGGTTTACATGCACCCGGATTTGTTGACAAGATTTTGTAAAGTAAACTTGTCGAACGCCAAAAAATTCGGCCTGATTTTTTTTTCCAGACCTGCCTAATTAATCTTACGGTGATCAAGAGCCATTATGGCTCCTAAATGTTATCGAAGATGATTGCTATTGTTTGGGTGTACATATGTGGATATCAACTCGATGTAAGATTTTGCTCACTCTTGGGCTGTTTGCAAATTATTTTTCTCTAAAATCACTTAGCCTTTCCCTCAAAAGTCACATGAATGTGCTATGTACTCTAAAGTTAACTGAATTGTGGAATACAAGTTTATTGTTTGATTTAAATAGTAAATATATTAATGGGAGCCTCGCTTTTAGCCCTGGCTAAATCTATATATTATAATTTCGCAGATTTCCATTGCGGTTAATGTTTTTCCCAGTATTCTTTGAGTTGTGCTGGTAAAATGTCTGTTTAACTCATCAGCGTCTGCACGAATGGGAATTGAAGTGAGATTGAGGGTTCGGTGGATCGTGCCCTATAGTTATGTTCTTTTGGTGATTTCGATGACACTGCCTTCTGGTAGACTGATCTCTTCGCATACCTTGATATTTGTTCTGAGTAAGTAACTTTTTCCATTTATCTTCCGATTTGATATGTTGAGCTTGATAACGAAGCAGGTTCCTATGTTTGCACTTGAATCTTGTGGGTGTCGTCAGTTTTCAACCATGGTGCAAGTCTCTAAAAGGTCGTGTCTGCCAAGAAAAGTGGGGAGTAACGAGTTAAATAAGTCCAGCTTATCATCAATGTCGTCTGTACTGTAGATGGCATTGAAGAGTAGTTCTGAAAAACCCTGGAGGAACTTTATTTCGTCGAATTCCCTTTCATTTTTGATCATCTTATAGCGTGATTAAAAGCGCTTTATACGGACCTTGATACAAACGCATGGAGCATCGTGGTCGCTGATCATGACACTCGAGCAGCGCAGAACATTGGTGTAAGTAATCCGGTTTGGAGCATTTGATATAACATGATCTATTAGTGTACTTATCTTTAAGGTGACATGTGTAGGCTGCTGAACATGCTGATAGAGATTGAAGTAAAAAGTGCCTGGTTAAGGCTTACATAACAACTTAAATAGTTAGCAAAACATTTCCTTTTTCGCGGTCCGGTAAATGACAAATCAGCACCCTACCTGCAAAAACCAGCCTATAGTTCAAAGCCAAGAACCCGCTGAAACTAGCCTGTTCCAGGCTCCGAGATAGTCGGGTCCGCTGAATTGAGAAGGCGCAAACACGAAAATAAAACGGGAGGAAACTGGGGACAGCGGGGGCGGCGGAGCCTGTAATCATTTCTTTAAACGACCCGTTCCGGTATACCAGCTCCTGGTATACCCTTTGATTGGTCAAATTTGACAGATTATATCAACACTCTCAAGGTCGTTCCTGTCACTCAGAGAGATGGCGTGCGGCGTCCACGCGCTTGAAATAGAGGAATCCACGATAACTTCTGTGTTAAACGAATGTTTACGAGATTTCCCGCACATGGGAGCGCTGAAGAAGGAACAGAAGACCTGCCTTCTGAACTTGGCGCGTGGAAAAGATGTTTTTGTAATCCTGCCGACCGTCTTCGGTATTGCCTGATAACAAAGTTGCAATAACAGAAGAGTCGCAAAGAGTTACCTACGTCAGCTGTCTACTTGCTCCGGTCCAGATTAACATTATCTTTAGATCTCTTTAGAAGAACAAGCTGGAGTTTAAAAATCATTGCTTTAAAAGAGCAATCTTGACTGACTCACAACGTGGTTCTCCATGTTTAAAGTAACTCCAGTTTAAGCTGCAATCCATTCTTCGAAATTTTGATCTGTGAATCACCATCCGTAAGAATTTCACACCCTGCAAAAAAAGCCGCAATAAAGAACTTTACGTTTCAAAAGTGGTCAAAGAAAATGTTCTTGCATCACAGGGCATATCATCAATCACGCCGACCAGAAACAATAACCTTAGAAAATCTATACGCGTGTCGCCACCTCTCAGCATGAAACAGGCGGCAAAAATCACAAAGTTTGCTCAGTCAAAATGTAGATCCCTCCAGAGCATAATCTATTTGTAAGAGAAAATATTCACTGGAACAAACAGTATTTTGGCACAAGGTAAAAGTCGTGTGTTGCCTACCGACCCACTTTTTACACTCCAGATTGCTCTGACTCGCATAAGGGATAAGCGCCGCGCGAAATAATCTCGCGAGAAATTTGAGAAAGATTCCAAATCATTGACATTTCAACAGTTTGACTGCCGAAATCTAGTTATCTCAAACGTGCCAAACGTGGACGGAAGAGGGTCGTCAAATAAATGACTACAGGCCTTCTCTCCTTTCCTTTTTCCTTTTTCCCGCCCCGCCAACTTTTCTCGTGCCTTTTTCTTTTCTTCCCCACTATCTGAGAACCTGGAACAGGCTAGCTGAAACTAATAATAATAATAATAATAATATTTGTTTATTTCCACCATTCGCAGATTTCTCTGAATTACAGGTAGGGTCAGGCAAAGACTTACAAACATTCAGTTATACATATAAATATATAAATATAAAAACATAAATATAATAAAGTAGTAACATGGTAGAAATCGCATACACATTATTACACACAATCGATATACGGCGAATATTTAACTGACACGAATTCTGAGAACCGGTCAGTTCGGCCGGGTAACACATGGCATGATGGTCCTGACCTCAGTGAATACGAGGTTTGTGACGAGATGACCCTGCTGGATATTAGGCGGTAAAGCGGGCTACCGTGCATAGTTTCCGTCACAAATTTCTTGCACGCCAGGTGGCGTCTGGCCTGTAGAGACAGAAGCCCGGAACGCGCGAGGGTGTCCTCGTAGCTCAAGTCAGGACCAAAGATGATTCGTAGGGCTCTCTTTTGCACTCTTTCTAAAGCCATGCAGAGATACTGCGGTAAATCTGCAAAAACTACCGATGCATACTCTAGAACAGATCTTAGTAGGGAGCAATACACAGCCACCAACTCCCCATCTTGCACCCCACAAGCTTTCAGTTTTCTTAGAGCATAAAGGCGGCGATTTGATTTCTTTATTATATAGTCGCAATGAGTCGACCAGCTGAGGTCCGAGGAAATGTACACCCCGAGGAGCTTAAACGATTCCACCGATTCAATAACAGAACCTCCTACCGCTATTGGTTGACT